TCATGTCATGGCCCTCATGGTGGGATATTCAAGTGCTTCATCCACGTCAGAGAAACATGGAACAAGGCATTTAAAATGGTTAGACTGTCACTTCTTGCCTGTCACCCTGTGACCTTTCCTGCCACTTCCCATTTGCTAATCTTTCTCTTTGCCCCCCAGCAAGGTGTGGAAGGGAAATACTCTATGTATTAGTGTGTGTTACGTCATTTCAGAGCTCTGCTCTAGCTGAGAAGAAGGGAACAGCTGTAAGTGCCAAGCCACAGCAGTGCTCCCCAGTGTGGGCAAGTGCCCACCTAGCCCACGCTGTGGAGCACCCATGGGACAATGCCATTGTCTGACCACAGTGCCCATCAGATCTCGTCCATCATCCCCGTGCAGGGGCACTGTCCCCTGTGCTAATGGGTGGCCAGAAACTGTCCGTCCTGGCTCATGCCCAGAGCCCGTACTCCCCTCTGGTGCCTTCTTCCTATGTCTTGGATTCTACTCACTGTGCGTGGGGTACTATTGCTTGCTTTCCCTTCCCAGGCACATGAGTGGACCTGGCCTTTAAATCCTGAACCACTGAACATACCCTCATGCCTTCTTTAAAACGCTGAGCTCTTCGTTAACAGCCTCTTTCGTCCCCTTCAAAGAGGGAACCAGAGGCTAGCTCCCTGTTGAGGCAGCGCTCGGCGTCTTGCAGATATAACACTCAGCAGAGATGGGCACTGGAGGCTGAGCGATGTGCCTGGAAGGCACCGGGACGTGTCTCCCCTCCACCCTGTTGCTCTTTTTCTTCCCTCCTCACAAGGTTAACAGTCATTAGGGAGAGTCTGCCCAGAGGCCAGAAGTTAGTTCAAGATGTTTCTTCGCGGGGGCCCAATTTTCCATACAACCCTTGCCCATCCCCTGCCTGTGAGAGGCTTGTTCTCCAAGTTCAATATCATCACCTTTACTTAGGACGGTGATATTGTACCAGCATCCTAAGTGGTCTGAGGGTGAGGTCCGAGGGAGGGCTCAGGTGTATTTGTAGTGGGTGGGAAGCAGCACCAGGGTATGGCAGGTAGCACCCTTCTCCCCAGGGCTGAGCATCTCCTGTACAAGTGGCTGAATAGCCCAAGCAGGCCTGTGGGGTGGTGGAGGCAGATGCCCCACCACGCCAGAGAGGGGAGGAAAAACCCAGTCGTCCCCCCAGCTGCCCAGTATAGGGCTGGAGGAGCACAAGCACTATGGTTTCTCACCAGGCTTCCCCAGGCACAGCCCAGCACCTCAAATGGAGATTTACGTCTCTGATTTAATTCAGCTGAGTTAAATGAATATGATTAAAAATTCTTGTTAAATGTCAGGCTGATTTATAGGAACTGAGATTAGCTGGCCACGTGGCAATTTAGTGGGAAATCAACAGCTGAGTACTTACATTTCAGTGTCAGTCATTTTATAGTGTATCCTTATAAGCAGTAGGACAGGAAGGAGAGAAACCAACCTCAGTGACAAAGAAAAGTAGTAGTTTAACTCACTAAAAAAATATGTTTCCAGTGCAAGATAAGGTGATCTGTGCCAGATGAATTTTATAGTGCAAGCTTTGTGTCCACTGGGAATAGACTGTATCAAAATAAACATGTGCAACCTTTCTTCTGGAGAGTCCCTGGAGCCAGCTGGCACTCTGCCTGAATTACTTCTTTCCCAAGCGACTATTCATTGTATGAATGAATGTGGGGGGGATGTTTATGCTATAATTCTCCATCTGATAACTAAGCCGGGGGTACACGGTTAACAGTTTAACCATTCTTTTGTTTCCAAAATGCCACTCTTCCCCCGCTTGTGGGTATGCATCTTTCTGCGTGTCTGTCTGAGTACCATCAGGATGGGAGTACATGAGCTTTCTCCACCTTATTCCAGGTGGTTCCCATCTTTTTGAGTAATAGCTTTTTCACTCCTTGTAGATAATGAAGATATTAATGAAGCTCCAAATGTAACTGTCACTGTTAAATACTCTGTTGGCAGGAGTTATATCATGTGGTGTTGTTACCCATAGGTTTCCAAATTCTCTTTGTTAGCATGAAAGGATTGTTCAAATTTTGAGAAATCCTTGTGCTACTTGTTTTTTATGTCACCTCTTTGCAATTACTGACTGCCTCTGTCATTGCAACAAGCCAGAATTGCCTCCTAAACCAGGCACTGATGGGGATGAGAGAGTAGATTTCCAGTTTGCTATTCGGGACCCTCCCAGCTGAAGGACTGGGAGGATAGTGTAAAACAAGCAGGTTGCACTAAGCACGTACCTAAGTTCCATGCCATGGCTTTCTCCTCCAGCTGTAAGCCAGCATCTGGTGCAGCTCAGGAGAGGGATGGCAGCACCAGTTTGCAGCAGTTGTATACTCTGCCGTATCTATTTTATTGAGAACAGTTTTCATTTCATATGGTACATATGTACTGGCAAACGCTGTTAGCAATGCTTACAATGCTCTGGAGGTTTTGCCGTGTGAGCAAACAGAAGCAAAATGACAATTAGATATTGTCTAACACTAGCAACAGCACAGCAGGTCCAGAATTTCATGTCAGTCAGTGAGAAACCTTGTTTACTGGAAGCTGGCCATGAATTGCTTTACAGATCTAGCCAAATCCTTGGCAGAACACACCAGTTAGACCTGTTGCTCTCTCATAAGGGTAGAGGCTTCCCAGCAGTGTAACGACTCCTTGATGGTTTATAGGGTAGGAAACCCCTTTCCATTAGGTACATTGTGCCCCTCCAGAGCATCCGGGGCTGAGCAGCACTGATGCTGACTGCCCCATCTGCCCCCCATCCTTCCTCAGAGCCACCCAGAGCTCTCGTCCCCATGTCCTGCTTTCTCCTGGGAATCTGTTACAACCAGAGGAGGCCTTGGTGCAGCAGAGGAAAACCTTCCGGGATTCAGAGAAAGTGACTTCTTCTGCTGACACTGCCCTGTTTTGCTTGTCACGCCCTAGATTCAACACGGATGCGCGCAACAGAGCATTTTAAGCAAAGGTCTGGCAAAGAAAGACAGCAAAATCCTAAATGCTAACTCTTGCCATATTACTGATGCATTCTTTACTCTTGAATAGCATAGGTGAACATTTTGGTTGCAATAAGTGAGCAAATAACAACAGAACCCATTGAATTTTGTCACTACATTTTAGCTGGAATTATTTGAAAATGCACTTCTTGGGCTAGCAGTGTGATTCTGGGATTGGGCAAATAACCATCTAAAGTATTTGTAAAACACTGGTAAATAAAATTTAACTGGGTCTCTAAATTTTCCTAGTCTAAAATATGGATTGTGATATGGCTGACTTGGCTGTTTTGCAAGGCCAAATAAATACATGAAAAAACATCTAAAAATTACATGGTACTATTTGTTATTTTGTTCTGTATAATAGAATTCAGCTACTTAAATTTGACAGTAATGACTAAAAAAGCCAGTCTCTCGGCCTTCATATTTCCTATTTATGCTCCTCCATCAAAGAGGTGAATGCCACGTAGTAGTTTCACCCTCCAATCAGTGACCCGTGGTTTTAACTCCTCATTACTCTTATATTTGATAAAAAATTACAAGGTAGTTTCATGTTCTTAGCTAACTGTTGAGTAATGAGCAGGTGGAATATTGCTGTAAGAGAACTAGAAGCAGGAGGAGGGAATTTATCCACTGTTCTTACTATCAAAAAGTTTTCACTCCTGTTTTTTCATAAAATGTTCTTTAAACAGACAAATTTATGTGTGACTCATATGTGGAAAATACCATGAGCTTAAATAATGCATAAGAATTAACTTCCCTCCTCCCCCCCCATCCAATTGTATTCATGTCTTACATGTTGAGGACTCATTAAATGAGAAACATTGATTTTTGAAAACGAGTGTTATCATTGCTTGTCATTACACCACCGCTTTGACAATATCCAGGGTTGGTTTGTAGCAGCATTGTGCTGCCAGTTCAGAAAATATTTGTGTGGGATGCAGCAGCAGCACACGGCTTTTGTGCCCGACGTGGGCGCGAGGTGCCGTGAGAGGCTGCAGCAGCACGGGGCTGAAGTGGTTATGGCTCGAGCATCCCTTTCTCGTAAGGCCACAGAGCAAAGGAGAGGAGGGCAGTGAGCTGGTGACAAGTGTGTCTGAGGATCTCAGCCTTCAGGTGGGCTGCTCTTGTATTTTTCACTTCACCTTGCCTACACAGATTTCCTTAATTTACCCAATTTACCCCCTTTTACTCTGTGGCTTTATGAACACATCTTGTGCTCGGAGTACTTTCTCCTTACGGCTCAAACTGCTGGAGCAATTGGACTATAAACCTGACAGCAGGTCACAATGTTTTGATGAAGCTTAGCAAAGAGAGTGACGAGGACAGTATGGTCCCCACGCTCGGTGCTGGCACCACCAGGCGGGCGGTCCGTCAGCTGTTCCTGGCTGTGTGAGGGTTTTTTCACAGCGTGGTTTAGGCACTGGGATTTATGAGGACACTTTGAATTTGGGGTGTAATTCAGTATAGTTATGCCATCTCTTTGGGCTTCGGGTCAGGGCCCACAGAGGAGGATGAAGAGCCTCCCAGTAGGAAGCTCTACCTGAGGAGTCAGAGGCATCAGCGATGCTGGCTCTTGCGGTGGGGATGGGTTTTAGGGGAGCGCGAGGGCCGCTGAAAACTCCTTTTCAACTTGGGCTAGACCACAGGGTTCAGCCAGTCTGCAAATTTGCAGGAAGTAACCTCCACACCAAAAAATCACCCAGAAAGTAACTGGTTTTGTACTGTGCTGGTGCACCAGGTTGTGTCTGGGAGCCTTGATCCCTGGCTGGAGCCCCTAAGGCTAGCATGATGCTCAGGAATAACTTTATCCACAATGGATGTTTCCTAAAATCAAGGACTGTGGCATAAAGCACTGCTGACACATTTATCTGACCTGGATATCATCACTCTGTTATTAAAATGAAATAGAGTGACTCTGAGATTAACCTGCAAGTAGAGCTAACAAAATGGCATTTCATAATGATTCTCGCATTCCTTCAACAGAAAAAACTGCTTAGACAATCTAATGGATGAAGATGAGAAAGACAGGGCAAAGAGGTGAGCACTTTTTCTTTTATAACTCTCTGTTTAACTTGTGATGTGCTTGATACTGTTTGTTGCTGCAGAAGCCGTTTTATCCATAATCAATTAATCAAAGAGAGAGAGAGTAAAATACAGCCAAGCACAACTTGAAAAACTGCCATCTCACAGATTCCTATTCTTGGCTACCCTGTAAGAAGAAAATAACGTAGCAATTTTTCCTGTGGAAAATGTCAAAAAAAGCGAAGGTATTGATCGTTTTCTTCACATTACTGCAGAACATGAGAACTGAAGAACCAACAATGTACTCCTGCTGCTATAATACATCATCTGAGCTTCCCAAGTGTATAAAAATATGGGGGTTTTACCAAAAAAAAAGCATTTTGCAAAATAGAAAGAACTAAAGAAGTTGGTTTTTCCCTATTATGATGGTCATTTATTCAGCAATGCCTATCTCACAATAATGAAAACACCCAGAAGTTACCTTCAGAGCAGAGAAAGACCACGAAAAGTGCTGTGTCAGCCCTAAACTGGCACAAAACCTTTATTCACATACATTCTGCACTCCATCATCAAGTCCCAGTTGGTGGGAAATTGTTGTGAACACTTTGTTGGGAGGGGAAGGGTGTGTTTCAAGGCAGAAGACCCATGACAATAAAACTCTTAATAACTGTCAGATCTGACTGGCATCTGCAGAAAAGCTGTTCGGAAGCGTTGGAGGGGTTTTTTTTCTGGACACGTTATCAATACCGCAGCCTGCAGTTTAATTGCTTTAGAGAGAGCCGTGGGTTGCTCGCATTTTTCCCCTTGGTTCCCTCTAATGAGAGTATTTCCAGTCTAGGCACAACTAGTTGATCCAGTTTCATCTCTTTTGATTCCTTCTCCGCTTCTTTCCTCCCCGCAGCTTTTTCTCACCAATATAGGTCAGCACAGGCTGCAACCGAGCTCAACCGTTCCCCTTTGCTCCCTCCTCTTGACGCGTGCATGCTCAGGCTGCAGAAAGCCTGCCTTTGAGACCAGGAGCAAAGCGCTGACCTCACCGCCTCCCCTTAGGCCTGCGAGGGCTGATCTGCTGAGGCCAGGGGTCCGCTGGACCCCGGAGTCGTTGCTGCTGCTGCTGCTTTTCACAGGGGGGTTGATGCCCGGGAGAGGGCCAACACGGGGTACGGCTCTGCCCAACCATCGGCCAATCAGGCAGGCACCCCGGGATCAGGGAACAGGGGACCCCACCTTGCATCACCGCTTTGCATGCTTACAGCCTGATTATCTTCAAGATATTTGTGTGCTAACTGTTTTTTGGTTGGGTTTTTTTTTTTTTAAATGCATTAAATGAATCCATAAGACAAAAATAGGATAACACGTATCCCCACTATCAGCGATTGTCATCACCATCTGGTATGGTTTTCATGCCATTTGTTCCTGGAGGGAAATTTTGTCATACCCTGGGGCAGGCCTCTATCAAGGTGGATAAAAAAATGATAATCTGAAAAAAAAAAAAAAAAAAAAAAAAGGAAATTGCTTCTTTGAATTGTAATTTAAGTACATTTAGAAATGTATCTTTAAAAAATAAATCTAAATTATCTAAATTTGAAATTAAGTTTGAAATCACAAGAGGCTTCATGCAGATCTATAGTTACTACAGCATACTGAAACCATTCAGATTCATTTAAAAGCTACAGGTTTTCTTCCGAAGCTTTACAGAGAGTCAAACTTGGGAGAAGCCATTGGCTGAACATTTTGCTGTTGTGTGTTGAAAACTGAGGACTCTCATCTGTCCCGTACCACAGGGGAAACGCTTTCTTTGTTTTCTTCTATTTGGTGTAAGAACTGGGTCCCTCAGTGCTGAGAAACAGAAGAGAGGGTGAAAAAGCCAAGAAAATTGTTCTCTTCTTTCATTTTCTGAGTAACAAGTAGGTGAGGCTGGAACTTTCTGGGTCTAACTCTTTGGGGATGGACCCAAGCCAGAGACTGGGCTTCTCGAGTTGGAAGTGTGACTAACACACGCACATCATTTACTGCCTGCTGCAATTTATTAGGTGCGTAGAGGTTGTCTTACACAGACATCCCACCCGTGCAGAGAAGAGGGTCCATCCTCTCCCACGGAGGGGCACCTGCACTCCCCCCCCGCCAGGCTGTGTTTAGTATTTGGCCAAGATGCGTAGCTCTTCCTTCACGGCACTGGTTATTTTCAGCCCCATTCTGCCTCCTCTGACTCCCTAAGGCGTTACTTCACTCCAAAGACACAAGGACTAAAATGTGGGTACGATGGCACTACACTTGGGAGCATCAAAGACCTCTTTGAGGTCTGCTAATCTTCTGGAGATCAGAAACCATCATTTCTTTTTCAATTCTTTGATGCTAGATGAGGCTTACTTTGTTTTATAGAATTATTATTTTTAAACAAAAAGCATGCTTTGTGCACTTTTTTCTCTATTTTTCTTTTCGTTAGCTTTAATAGTAAATTATTTTTAAAAAAATTTTTTGCAATTCAATAGAATTCCAAATTCCAGCCCAAACCATCTTGAAGTGAACCATAAGTAAGTGCTTAATAAATAAGGACTATCACCTGCCATTTTCCACTCCAATAAAAAGTAAATTTAAGAATCTGAAAGAAGGTATGTGGTATGGTCACTTGCTTGGATGCATGTATAATGTATGCCACCCGGACAGCAAAAAAGAAATACGAAATTTAATGTAAAGCCACATTTCATTGTCAATCAGCATGGTGTAATGGTTACTAGTCAGCAAGTATCAGTCTGTCTTTAAGACAACAAGCAGCAAATATGTAAGAGAATAAAAGTGGCTATCTAGAACACATTTTAAATGGGTGATTTTGATCATTCTGAATTCAAGCTGTCCTGTATTGCCTTTAGCTGTATTCACTAAAACTCCAGATTTTATTCATAATGTGTCTCCTTCTTCCCTTTGAATACACTGTTGTTGTTTTTTGGAGTAGCGAGGAGGGAGGAGAACTGGGATGAATAGTATGGAATTAAGACAGAGACTGTTTTGGCTTACTGTAAATGATATGCCCTAGCAATGAAGTAAGCAAAGCTAGGGAATAATCTTCCAAGGGAAGTGATGAAAACTGCATTATTTAAGACATTTACAACTGGACTGAACAAAGCATTTACAACTGTGCAGGGATAGTTTAGATGACCTAATTGTGGGGGTTTGTTTCCTCATTTTTTTCCTTTTTAAGATTTTACTGTGATCATCGATTCAGATCTTGGTGGAGTTATTTCCACTAGAGGAGTTTTCATGTTTCCTTTGTGAATAAAATGTCAAGTGTTAAAAATAGATACTTTCTATTTCTGCCAATGCATCTTTTTTTTGTTTTTTTGAAAAAGCAACACTTTCCCTATAGATGTTTGGTGTTTTATTTTATTTTCAGGGAGATCAAGACCCTTTAAGCTTAAAATGAACTGAGGATTGAATTATGAGGAAGTAAAATGTTGATGTTCTTAACGTCCCCTTGAACTGTACAGAAATAGGATAAGGCTGGAGCTTTTCACATCTTGTTCTGACAGCCTTTTGCACTGTAATAAGAACAGGCTGAAATCAGTCAGGCAGTATCCACCCAATCTCTTGTGTTCAAAGCTGTAAAATAATCAAGTGTTGGCTTCTATCCAGTGTATTTCCAAGCGTGTTCAGGGTTGAGAGCAAGACAAACAAAAATTACCCCTCTGTCAGTAGTAACATCCAGAAGCCTCTGCAGTGATTTCTCTGCTGAAAATGTATATTGCCGTCCTGGTCCTTGGCGGGGGGGGATGTAGATGCTGGGCTAAATTTTGCTCTGATTTTCAGGTGTGTGCATCCAGAGCTGCTTACGAGGTACAGCAGAGTTAGCTGGGACTGAGAAACTCAGAGTGAGAACCGGCCTCTTGGCTTTTCTTTCCTGTCAGATTTTTAGATCTTTATGTAATTAACAAGGCAAATCTTGTCTGCTTGAGGACCTTTCAGAAGAACAGACCAACTTTCTGGGTTATATTTATTTCTATTTTCACATGGTTGCAGAAGTCTGGGTGATACCCCCCAAGCAGAACAATTGTCGCATTCATGGGAACAATTCAGAAAACGCTTGCTCGTGTATAGGTTGACATACAATTTTTAAAAAATGAAGTGCACATGCTGAAAAGATTATCAACAGCCTTAATGACAGTATTATGATGGTGCCAAAACACCCCGAATGAAATCAGGTCATTTCTTCCTATGAGCTCTTCAAACACAGCAGCAGAAGCAGGCTCTCTCTGAGGAGTCTGCAAGCTAAACAGACAAGACTGGCAAAGAAAGCTGCACAGTCCCCATTTTACACCTAAAGAGTCGGGGAACCGTGACCTTATGTGATTTGCCCAGCAGCACGCAGAGATAAGGGGCAAGCAGGTGACCCCTGCTAGCACTTCTGAGCCCCCAGGTCTGGCAACACATCCCACCCTCAGACCCGGTCCATGCTGGGATGAGACGTGCTGATGCCCTTCCTCCTGCTTGCCCTTGTCACCTTGGAAGGGAGACTGAACTAGTGGCATACGCACTAGGTGGGAGCTGCAGCAACCTCTGCTCGGGTCCCTGATCTTAACGACTGGAAGATAACAGCCTGATTCCTCTCTGTAAGCCAGCCTGGAGGTAGCCAGAGGACCTGTGACCAGAGCGGGCAGGTCCCTCTAGCTCAGCCCAGCTCCAGCGCAATGGCTGAGCTGCAGGACCGGGGTCCCTCTCTCCTGTTAAGACTGCACAGATGGGTATGACCCATAGTTTTACCAGTCCCCGCTCTTCTCCTTTATGGACGCTTTTACTGTTGTCGCAGTATTTCTATTTCTTCTTGCTCTGAGTGCCTCCTCAGAGGCTGCGTGAACTTTCAAGATCCTGTGCATGCCTAGGAGATGGACAGAGCTCCTTCACCCACGGGCTTAATGCCAACCTGATAGGCTCAACCAGAGCGTCCAGAGGCAGCACAGAGGGGCGAGCAGAGCCTCCATCTCCTTGCTGGACTTTAAAGAGGACCCAAAGACAAGAGCAGGAGGTAGGAACAATTGCTTCCTACTTGTCTCTGCAGCTTTGTTGGAGGCCGGTGTCAACCTTCACACACTGAGGCACACAGCAAGCTGATTTCCATGTGTATACACTCCAAAGAGGAGGTACATGATGATTTTTCCTCTTGGTCTGCTGATCCTTTTTTCCCCCTCCCCCTCTACAGGGCTTCGCGTAACAAGTCTGAGAAGAAGAGGCGCGATCAGTTCAATGTTCTCATCAAAGAGCTCAGCTCCATGCTTCCAGGCAACACTCGCAAAATGGACAAAACTACTGTGCTGGAAAAAGTCATTGGCTTTCTGCAGAAACACAATGGTAAGATTTACTGCAACTCTTCATGCACTTGCCAGACGGTTACTACAATATCCTGTTTCCTTCAGTGATTATTAGAATGGCTCAAGGGGCCTAAAAGTGCCAACATAAGGATTTTTTTTTCTGTCTCATCAAAAAAGATCATTTGCAGGCACTGCACTGCCCAAATCCATCTCCTTGTCTGCTCTTTAGTTGAGGATGACTCTCAACCTGCTAGAGAAGGGGGTAAATGTCAGGAACCAAGGGAAGGTGGGCGGCAGTGCCCTGAGATTTGGGGCCAGAGGGAAGATTCCCTTCCTTGAAATTTGCAGTATTCTGAGCAGAAGAGCAAAGCATTCACCCCAGCTTCTCTGCAGAAAAATGCAGGGAAGCAATCTGTTCAGCCCCCCTGCTCCTCAGTGGACTGTGTAGGACTCAATTTTCCACAGTGAACAGAAAACTCAGACCAGAAATGGCCCCTATTTTTGAAGTCGGTTTCAGCAAATTGCATCCGCAGATAGCTGGCGTGCTTCACGCGGTTTGCACAAGCAGGGGCCTCATCACATTTCCACAGCATGCAGTTGCAATAGTAAAGTTTGGCCTCAGAAAGCCAGGAGTTTATTTTTTAAAATGCACACAGCAGTGACAGTCAAGTCCCTTAAACGCGTGCCCTTACAGAGGGCAGAGGAGATTTCTGACGCTGCTGATCTAGGCTGGTTGGTCTAGTTTGCAGTTGCGGGCTCCCTGATGCATGGACATCCGCCAGCAGCGGACAATTGAAACATTTCTCCCTTATAAATCGGGGCACTGGTTTAAAATGGGACCTTCTTGCTCTGTTCCTGTGAGGAAGAGGCTTCAGGAGGTGACCGTGGGGATCATCCCTGGTCCCACAAAACAGAAAGGGCTCTCATGAGCTGATGGACCGCATCCCCAGGCTCGCCTTTGCTCATCCGGCATCTCCTGTCCTCACTCCCTGGAGAGCTCTGGGTGAAACAGGAAAGACCATAAAACCTCTTATATCATTACTCCCTACATAATGGAGTCACAAATGTCAAACTTATTGAGGAAATAATTATAGTGGTTCTGTTGTTAGAGCACAGTTTCTCCTTAAATGAATTTTTGCCACAGACAAGATGATTTCATACAGGAGGGCACGACTAGGACATCTCAAAGTTTAATAATTGTATATACCTATTAAAAAATGACAGTAATAACATATCTTTTTTTTTTTTTAGCTGCCCAAGGCAGAGTAAAGGAGGATGTGAACATGCTCAATTATAAAGCCGAGCAAAGAACAATCACATGACATTTGAATAAGTGTAGACAAGTGTAGCTGATAGCCCAAATAATTTACTCCGAAAGGCCCTTCATTTCTGGAAGAACAACTAGGTAAAAGAAAGCTAACAGTCACAAATCCTTCCACAGCAATTGGGTCAAACTGCGACTGGTTTTTGTGCACTCGCTAAAAAAAAAAAAGCAAATGTTATCTATTTTTAAACTAGATTAGTAGTCACACAATATAATACAAAGCATCAGCATTTAAAAACGTTTATTATCTTCGGTGTACTTTGGATCTGGTTTATTCAATCATATTTCCCTTTCATTTAGTAGGCTAAACCAAGATTTTAGTTATAACGAAGGAGGAGGTCAATTTTCAGATTTTTTTGCTTCATAAACAGCCTCCTTCTTTATAATCCGGAGAATCTCTTAAATCTCAAGTAATTCTTTGAACAGTCACTGTTTTGTGCATATCAGCTTTCCCAAGCTACGGATCTGCTGAAAGTATCCCATATTCTGAGACCATAATAAAAAATATGATTAGGGCTGATCTCTCTTTTTCCTTAGTCTGGTTTTGAAACCTCCGTGTAAGACCACGGGGGCTGTGGAGAGCCGCCGTGCTATCAGTGACAGCCCCCAGCGGTGCAGAAAGCGAGGCGAACAAGCTGGTAGAAGCAGACGGCTGCAGCTCCACTAATAAAGCCTGAACGGAGGCTTTGATTTCTTTCTGGGCGACAGTATGCACAGGCACTGGTATCAATTTGCTGTCTTTAATATCATTTAGCCATTTGCATTTCTCCGGCCAGTTTGCCTATGTGCTCCCAATAAGGACTGTTGGGTATTACATGCTCTGGAAGTGTTAATCAATAGGATTAATTAGCAGGCGGTGCGGAAAGGAGAAGGCAGGCTGTGCTCAGCAGCCCCTCACTACTAGTGCTGAATGAGGGAGCGCTCTTAGACAAGTGGAGCGAGCAGTGACCGAAACCAGCTCAAATCTCTCTGAATTATAAGATCTGTCCCCCATGACCCTGTATGACTCAGGTAGAGCTAACGTGAGTGGCTGTTTTTCAAAGGAAACAGCTCACCACGGTGCATCCGGCTACCCCTGGTACGACCCCCAGGTTTTGTGCAAAGCCGTGACTTGTTACCCCGGTGCGCCTGCACCCCTCCACGGAAAGCTCTCGGGGAGCGAGCATCCTCAGGCTGCTGCCAGGCCAGGACTGGCCAACAGCGGGGCAAAACCTCCCCAGGTGTCTCATGGGCTGACAGCACAGGACAGGATTTGGGATGAGACGCTGGCGCTCTGTTCCCTCTCCTGGGCTGCCCTGCACGGCACAGGAGAGCACGGGGTTAGCGGCGGCAGCAGTGTAAGGCTGCTGCAAATGCTCACGTTCCGCTCACATTTTGGAGAACGGAGCAATAGCTCTGCTGTTCGGGGTCACAGCCCTTTGTGGTTCCTCCGAAGGGGTTTTCTTGCCGCTCCCTATTTTGCACAGAAGCTGTAGGCTGAACCCTAGCTCTCTCTGGCATCCTAATTTTGAAGCTGGAAAATGTAAATATCAATTTGACATGTGCTAATCCTTACCTTGATTTTAATTTCATGCAAAGTGGTTTTACCTTTTGATCAATACCTGTGTAAGGCTGATTGAGGCCAATGGCTATGTGAATACAGGCTCCCACTGACGTCAGGTCAAGCTGAGCCGAGTTAAAAATGAGGAAAACATTTCAGGATCAGGCCCAGTTTAGAGAGTCATTATTGTCTCTGTATGCAAAATGCTATGCTTGAAAACTGCAATTTTTGAATATAAATGGGACTTCTGTCTTTTCATAGCAACTCATATATAGGCATGCAAGATACAAGTTTTTTGAATTTAAAAAAACCAAAATGTTTTATTTGTCTAGAAGTCTCGGCACAGACGGAGATTTCTGAAATTCAGAAGGACTGGAAGCCTTCATTTCTCAGCAACGAAGAATTCACCCAGCTGATGTTGGAGGTGAACGTGCATATATATCCCTTTCCTAATTTTGTCTAGCAGTCATGGAAATGCCTATGCATCTAGAATAAAATGTCATCTGCAGTTCCAAAAGAGGAGGTTTCAGCTACTGCTGTATTTGTCCGTCAAGCGGAGTTGTCACTGGGACAAGGGATTAGAGGCCCCACGCGTTGCTTTTCACTCTCGATGGTGCCATTGCGCTGTGCTGCCGCAGCCTGCAAAGCTGCGCAGGGACTCCCAAGAAATGCAATCCAGGGGAGAGATTCAAATCACAGGTTACATTTTATTTTTACAAACAGAGGTGAGGAAAAGGGCACACGGCAGTTTTTCCCCTGTTCTTAGAAGGCGTTATTATTACCTAATATTTATGCAAGACTAGCACCTAAAAAGCAACAGTCACGTCCCTCTAGTGCTAGGTGCTGTACAAGCAGATAAAACCTGACAGCTTCTCTTGGTTTGATGCAGTTAATACTTCCACTCCAATGATTTTCCAGGCCCTTATCAAACACTTTTTATTCTAACAGGGAGCAGGGTTATTTTGCAATGATAGTTTTTAAATTACTTTTAAATTATACCATAGGTGCTTTTAACACTAGCTGGCATTTGAAGGGAGGTGACTCAATGGCATTTATGTAGGTTCGAGATGAAATGCAAATGAGCTGCTAAAATGTATTTTTCTCTCTCAGTAACAGCTAGAACCTTCTTTAGCAAGGATCTTCTCCCATACTAAACACACGGAGGCTGCCCGGCCCCACAGTGTCCTTTCAGAACAAGCTTCTCCTCCTCCCACAAATGACGTGAACGTGGGGTGTGATCCGGGCTCTGGCCGCGGGCAGGGAGGGATGCCGGGGGAGCAGCCTGACGTGTCAGGGGGTGGCACGAAGCCAGGGCACGTTGCTGGTCCCCGGGGGCTGGTGGTCCCTTGGCCATTGCAGTTTGTTGTGATGAGACTCCCGTGGTTCAGTGTGAAGAGTCACTTTGCTCCCATTGCACCGACAGCCCCCGATTCCCATCGGGAACTTAACGTACGTAACTCCTTCAGTCTGCGCTGAAATATTTCCCTCGGATAGCAATAAATGGGCAGCTGTCTTGACTGGCTGGGTCTTTGTTGATTCTACTTGTATGCCACACAATTTTAGATTAAAACAATTGCTTTTAGTTTCCCAGCTTATAAATCACCTTGTTGCTACTGTGATTTTCCATGCCCTTCAAGATAACATTGGGTATTGGGATGTCCTGTTGAGCCAGCTGTTCATCATTCTCTGCTTTTTTGCCTTTCTACCAATCTTATTTTATTAACATTTGGACAAGACTACTTGAAGTTTTTCCAGTCCTGTTATTAAAAGATGGGAAGGGTTTTTTTTTCAAGCACTGATTCAAAAGAATCAGAGCATAATTGACTGCGGTAATACATCAGCTTTCCTGAAAACGGCCTTTTCTTACCCCACTGAAAAGGCTGTCACCAGATTACATAGGACTGAGTATTAAGCTCTGTTTGTCCATCTAGGACTGTTGCAGTAGTGAAATCTTTGGAGAGGGATATGCCCTCTTAATGTTGGAAGGACCGGTTGCAAGTAAATAAAAATAGAATTATGTATGCATACACTAAGTTGATTTTACCACAAAATTCTGATGTGAGTCACTTTGTATAATTTGCATTGGATATGAAATAAAGACTTGATTTTTAAAAAATCCAACAACCTTCACCATAGTAACATGCACAATCCAGCTGCCTTGTAAAACCACTGCTCTCTTGTACGGGTTAACAGCTATCATGCTTTTTTAGAAAACAGCTTGAATGTACTACACTAAAGAAAAACATATTCTCTGCACTTAGATTAACAAAATCAAACTAACTATAGCAGCTGGAGGGTTTTCAGAGATGCTAAACACACGCTCTTCTACTGGAGTATAAGTTATTGACCTGCTTTTCAAAGGATTGTAGCACCAGCAGATTCCCATTGACTTAAATAGTTGTGGGTGCTCAGCATTCTCTGGAAAAAGGAACATATGTTTGCGTCTTTATTCAAGGCTTTGTGCTTTCCTTTTTTTCTTTTTTTCTTTTTTTTTTTTCTTTTTTTGAAAAACAATTACCATTTTCCAGTGTTCTCAGAATTCTTTCCCTTATTGAAGTCAGCGGGGGGGGGGGAAGGATGTGCTGCGGCTCACAGGATCAACTGCTAGTCTGGCTTGGAGGCATGCCTGGGTTTGCAGTAAGGTTTTCTAACACCGTGTCACGGTGATCAGGCCGTTTGCAATACACCTGTCTCCTGAGCAGGTATCGTCTCTGGAGCATAGTCGAACTCTGCTCTGATTCAGTCATGCTTGCAGTGCCCGTACTGCTCAAATACCGCAGGCAACACCGACTCCAGATCAGCAGTGAGCGGACAGGAAGGACCCATACCTGCTCAATGTGAAGGCATTGGGAGCTTCACCAGTGGCTACTCTATTACAACTGGGAAGTTTTAATATAGTCTCTGAGCACCTGCTCTTGACTCTTAATTTTTTGGGGGGGTTCTGCTCAGAGTAGGTTACTTTAGATCTGGAAATCTACCTCTATTTAACTTTGAACAACATTTAGCTCAAAACTTTGCAGCTGAGACTACGAAAGTAATTTGGAAGGTGAGATTGCTCCTGTGCAGAGGATGGGGATAAGGCTGACATTCCCCTCCGGTCCTAGGAGAGAAGGGGCTTACCACCAGGTGGGACCAAAGTGAGGAAGAAACTCTGCAGAAGGGTGAATTTCTCTTGGAATGAGTAATCTAATACCATGACCTTTAAAATAAATCACTCAATTAAAACTCAGGCTAAAGATTATTTGATCATTTGCATTGCTTTTACTTACATGAAAGCCCAGTAATACACAACGTTACATTAATACAAACTGAGATTTATGGGGTTTGCAGAGAAGTACCATTTTGAGATAGGACAGCATCCTTTCATCGTCCTTTGATATTTACACAGAGCTCAAATGTTCATTTTAATAACTTCCAAGGGATCCAGTCTTAGTCATTTTGCATTATTAAAATGTGTGATTAATTTAAAAACTGAGACATGAAATGTTCCTGTGAGCCCTTTGTTGCTTCAATAGTAGGTTTTACTAGACTACAAAGAGTGTTGTAAAAGTTAAATCAGACTGTAAAATCAGAGAATTACTGTTCTGCAACTTGAGATAACGTTCCTACAACTCGATAACAATATGGTGCTGAAGTCAAACTGTTTTGATCAACACGCGATGAGACGCCCTGTTTACACCCCTTGTTCCTATTAAAGCACTCTCCGCTTGTCTGTTTTCCTTAGGCATTAGATGGCTTCATTATAGCAGTAACCACAGGTGGAAGCATCATCTACGTGTCTGACAGCATCACACCTCTTCTAGGGCATTTACCGGTGAGTAATTCTGGCATTGGCTTCTCTGCTACAAGTCATAGGATTGGGCCCTGCAGTTTTAGAAACAGACGTAAAAGGGTGGTGGGTGGGTGGTGTTTTCCTGAAAATGCAGTGAGGGGTTTTGTCCCGGCATTATGCTGGCCGCTGCTGTTTATCAGCTCTGCTCTCTCTCCGTCTGATTCATACCCTTCAGGTTTTTGTTACTATGAGGCGCTTCGGCTTGAATGGAAAAAACTCTGCGGGAATACTCTGACCAAGGGAGGGACAGGGTGACCCATCTGATCTTTTCCATCTTTGATTTCTAAGCTAGCAGAGAATAGCACCAGTGCCACTGGCAGCCCGGCAAGGAGCTTGTTATTCTGCTCCCAGGGAGGTAAAGGACAAAACCCCCATTGAATTCAGAGGAGTGGGAGTTAGCTGGAGGCTGCTGCTAAGCTGCCCCTACAGCTCAGCTGTGGTTTCCCAACGGGAGAGCACCCCACTCCCGGAAGGTGCTGGTGGAGCCGATGCTCGGTGCTCCGGTCCGGCACGTTGGGCTTGTTTGATCTGCGGGCTGCTGGGTCTTGCTGTGGGAGATGCTCCTGCAGGCACGGGCTTGGGCTGGAGGAGCAGGGGAGAGGGACTGCTCCGAACCCTGCTCCCGTTGCTAAGGCTGCTCTAGGAGAAATAGCACAATAATTAAGGATTAATCCTCATGCTCATTTTTTAGTAGCTTGGTCTCAAATAAATACATGCCCAGGAGAAAAAAATAGCTGCCAAATCATTATTGTACCACCTCCCTACCCATGTTCTTAGGAAAATTACAATTCTTTTTCTCTCGTTTTACTTTTTCACCAAATACGTGTTGTGTTTTCCACCCAGACAAATGTATTTCACACACACTACCTTGCTGTAATATGAACAAAAATTATTTTCTTCTGAGACGAAAGGAACTTGATGAAAGGCGGCAGCTCCTGGTAAATGCAAGAATATTGCTATGCAACAACAGATTAAATTGAATCTATCTATTTCAGTTTTCTTTAATCCTCAACAGTTGAGAAAACCAGTAGTTGACTATTTTCTGACATTTGCCTTCACTTCAAAGGCAGAGAAAGCCCTGTCCTGCATGCAGTCTGTTGGGTCTTCATACACTTACTGATTTCCATGGAATTGCTTTGTCTTTCATGGTTTGGGGGTTTTATTGCTATCCCTTCCAAATACTGATTCTTAATGGAGATGGCAGATCTGCTGCGGGAAAGTAGCATTCTTCAGGAAGACACATTTCAGACACTGTCTCTAAAGCCTTAAGCCTGGCTGAACATGGATGGATTCGGGTTCATAATTCCTGAGTTGGGCCATCAGAGACTAAATTGGTTTTCCCTCCCAAATTCATGCCTCATGTGATAATCTTTGCCCAAAACAAAGACAAGGATGACCATTATTTTTCATTCTCCCAGAAGCAGCACATAGCGACCCAAGCCAGGGACCAACCTGCCAGGGCGGGAGGTGGAGCAGGAGTTCCCACAGACCTTCTCGGAGCTGATGGAGTGATAATGGTTAGCAACTGCCCCACCAGCCCACCTGTGCGGGGTGACTGGCTGTAGCCCAGAGACTGCAACTGAGCAAGCGATAAAGGCTTCTGCCTGCCTGAGGCCTGCAAATCGCTACGGCCATGGGCAGGGGCCCGGCTGAGTGTGCAGTTAGGTGCACACCGGGAATTTTAGTCCCACGCTGGCCTTTCCATATGTCTTTTTAAGTTTTAAAACTGATCAGAGTGCTATCTATCTGGAAAAAATCTATGTGGCTTATTTTGTTTACCTCCAGGATCTATTTGTAAGTTAAATTCAGTCACTGTTTGAGGGACAAAATACCAATTCTTTCTCCTCCGTGGCTGCAGGGGAAAAAAACACTCTGCAAATCTTCTGCTTTGAGCACTGAAAGGGAAGCAAAACGGGGCAGAACATGGAGCAGGGCTCTCTGAGGGCCCCTATCAAGAAATCTGATGTATTTTCTTTCATTAAAATCCCTGGTGCTGAGAGAAAATATATCCAATTCTCTTTAATACAGCTTCCCTAAGTTCCACGGAGCATTTTCAAACACAAACTTCCTCTGTTGTAATTCTCAATAGTCTGTTATGACAAGATCTGGAGGCTACTCCTAGGGTCGGTTGATATAAAGAGAGGTTCAGCTCGCATGATAAGATTGACTATAGCTGAAGTGAAGTGAACTCCTGGAAACCTGGTCACAACTCATAGCGTTTGCCGGTCAGATGGTACGCTATGACCCCATGACTACACAGGTCTCTGGAGGAGGGTCCTCCCTGTCCCTTCTTGCCTGCTTTGCTTGGTGAAACAGTTAAAGCAGCAGAGTCCCAACGTCCAGGAGATGCAGCTTTCTCATGGACGTTGTCTGTCCACAGACGCAGGCAGAAGGCACTGCACCTGCTCATGGACTGGCAGATTGGTGACCATCTCACCCAGCTTTAGTTCTGTAGCCACAGGGTCTGTGCTGGGCATCTGCCCACATGGTGGTCCACAAGTCCACGGACGCAGGCAGAAGGCGCTGCACCTGCTCATGGACTGGCAGAGTGGTGACCATCTCACCCAGCTTTAGTCCCGTAGCCACAGGGTCCGTGCTGGGCGTCTGCCCACATGGTGGTCCACGAGGGTTGGTGCAGAGGTGGTTGTGCAAAGGCAGGAGGTCCCTGGCAGGGCTGAGCTTCTCCTGGTGGGGGGGGCTCTTTCTCCCCAGGGGCTCCCCGGTGAAGCTCAGGCAGCTGCTCTGCTGTGTTGAGCCTTTAACTTAAACAACAGGGTGGAAAAATCCAGGACATAGCACCTTACAGTGTACAAAAGTTTTGCGTGCTGTGTTGCTGTTACAGGGTCGCACTGGGCACCAGTGCAGGATCTACAGACTGATACAGGGGCCAAATCCCAGCACACAAGTGCAGAGCTGTCTTGATTTTCTGGGTGATGGGAAAGAAGCCTATCATCTCATTTGCAGCCCTCCACCTGCCCGCTCCTGTAGTGACCGTGGTGCTCAGTTCCCCTGCTTTATTTATCTGCCGCAGGAATCACTCATCATATT